TTAATAGAAAACATTGACTTGCGCAGAACAATTTTGTGTATTTTGTACATTTCTCCACAATAGAAGCTATTGAATCAACAATTCTCAAATAAGTAAAAGAATACGATAGATCACACAGAATTAAATAAAAGCAGACAAGACTTGGATTATGTAATGCTGTAACTTTCTTTTGTTTATGAATCCTATTTGATCGGATAAGATCAGATCAGAGCCTTTTACTCTATTCTTATATGTTTCTTAATCTCAGAATCTTAGAAGATTTTCAACGACATCTTTTATTCTGAATCTGACAAAATCTTTAAAAAAATGAATCCATACAATATTGTCAGATGTTGTGGCAAGATCTTATAAGATCTGATATGATCTGTTTTTGATCTGGAATAAGATTCTTGAAAGATCTTACAATCTCATGAAATTTCCTATAATCTTATAGTGATAGCTTACAATGTAGTAAGATCTTTCAAAAATCTTCTAGTACGATATGGTGTAAGATTTCTAAGAATGCAATTTTTGTTCAATCCACCGTTAGCAAACGAGTTTATTTTATTTATTCTTCGTGCATAGAATGAGAAAGAATCATATATTATCCTGTGATAAAGAAGAAAGTTATCGTTCGTAAGAAGTGTTCTAAAAATAGTACAGACAATATTTCCTAATATCTTGGTACAATGTTCAATGGAAATCTTTTTTTCTAAAGAATTCTATTGTCACTCGCAACATTTTACCTTCTAAATAACTAAATAACTGAAACAAGAAAGTGGCCTTCGTTTTTGTCGACTTCGATGAATATGATAAAAACAGCAGTTGAATACATATTCTGTGTTTTCTTTTATGCCTATGTCGAAAAAAATGTCTTTGGGTCGTATTCAAAAGAAAAAAATTCGTTCTCAAACTAATAAGTACTCATCGAACAAACTTCGAAGTGTATACGTAAAGCTAGGTTTTCTTCAGCAAGAAAAATCTACTTTGAAATAAAGACGTTTCTGAACCTCTAGAAGAAATTTATAGACGAACAAGCTTTTTTATTAATACAAAATGAAATTTTATCAAATATGTTACTATTTTACAAAGATTCCTTCATGTACTACACCCACGAAAATGTAGACTCGGTCCACTAGATCGTACGGTCATAGAAAGGTTTTCCGCATATAGAAATTAATGAATTTCTTCACAATAAGCTGCAAATAAGGACTAGAATGACTCCACAATATGCTTTCAAAAAAAAAACAAAAAAACATATTACTTTATACATAGTTGTTTCCTATTAGCTGTTGCTCAAGATTTTGCTAACATGAAACTCACAGATCGTTATCACGACGAAAGTAAAATATCGTTCATACTAAACTTAGACATCATTATAAACTTCAGTTCCAAAAACAAAAATGCCACTAGGTTCCAGAAATTATTTTCAAAAAAAAATCAATTTTGTGAGGGAGGTTTAATTCCCAATATTTCAGAGAAGGCATCATGGATACTGATTGGGATTGACATTTGTGTACTAAGCAGAGATGAGTAACTACACTATGTTCCACCCACTCCAACACCTGATTTAACTTCAATTTCAATCGCATTTTACAAAACTGAACTTCTGCCCAAAATACTCTTAAATACACATAAGTTTATATTACTAAATGTACAATAATTAATTCATTAAATAGCAATAGTGTTTTCATATTTTAGGAATAAAAAAAACAAAATATGAAAACATAGTATACTATGTATCAATAAACTTTTCTTTTCCTATAGATGGTTTGCGTCGTTTTCTTTTTGTACCTATTTCCATATTCTTTTTTTTAAATCTGTGATGAAGATTTACAATATTTTAATCTGATGGATATATCAATGATGTGCTTGCAAATATAATTTTAAGGAATGATGGACATTTTCCTTTCGTCGTTCATTATCTATGAAATTTTCCATCTTATGGATTTCACAACACTTGTCATCGTCCTATATATAGCGTTACGTTTCTTATACGGATGTAGATATAGGTGATATACATAGAGTGACACATATATACGTACGGCGAGATTGAGATTTCACATCCTTTTCATATAAAAATTTATCTTATATAAAATTTAGCTTTAACTTAAATAAATTATTGCTCAATTAAATATAAGTTCTTTATAAACTTTCCTATAAAATCCAGAGATATACATCATCATTTTGCCCCGTTCCTACCCTGCATACTATTGCACTCTCACTCTGATGAGAAAAAGTATCAACTTCACAGTTGGAAAATCCTCCTGAAAGAAGACTTCTCAGAATAAGCACTACATAAAGGTTATGCCATGATCCTCATAGAAAATACTCATTATTTTTATATTTTTAGCAGAGTATCTTATTTAGTCAATGAGATTCTCTTCTAAGACCTTAATACAATGGTTTCAAAATGGTTTTCAACAACAATTAATAATATTTTCACTGGAGAACTTCGTTAAGATTGACATCCATCTTTTCAATATTTGTAAAAGTACAAGTCCTCAGATTACATAGATCTGCATGGAACCTTCTTAACTTTGCTTAGTTTCACCTGTATCCAAGCCATCTCATGATCTTGCTCAGAGCATTACATAGTCGTTCTTCGAATAGCTTGACATAATTTGCCCAAAAGTCTTATAAAATTTCATTGGCATACTCTTTAAGAGATTCTTCGGCAGATCTACATTCATCATACAAAAAATCATGTATCCTTAAAGTTTCCTAACAAAAAATAGGGATTAGATTTGATATTTATTGTTCAACAATTTGATATTCTTCTCACAGGATCCAAATAGAAGCTTCTCTGATATTCATAGAAAATGATCATTCTGCAAAAAAATTCTAAATTCTTGCAATTTCGAATAAAAACCTCAGATCCCTCTGTTTTTCTATCAAAAGCTTACATGGAATTAGCATTACACTTTCTTCGAGGACCTCCTTACAGCAATCTCTAGGTGTAGTTTTTTTTTCATAGGAAACTAGGAAAAGTCTTCTGAATTTTTATCTGAGGAAAGAATATTCTCGAAAGTTTTACCAAATTCCCTTAGAAGAAGACGAATATCTTCTTCATAGCTCTTTTTCCCGCGTGAGAGAAGGGAATCTCTTCGACAATGACGATCTATTTTCTTTTTTGTTCATTGTAGTAATTCCCAATATTCCAGCCACTGCCCGATGGGCACAGAATGGGGTGACCGTTGCTGGAGGCCATGAAAAAGGCAGTGACACCAATCAACTCAACTGGCCTGACGGTCTCTTCGTTGATAATGATCAAACGATGATCATCGCTGACACGTTCAGTAATCGTATCATCCAATGGAAGATGGGTGATACGAATGGACAAGTTGTAGTTGATGGCAATGACAAAGGAAATCGATTGGATCAATTGCGGCTTCCAACCGATGTGTTGATCGACAAAGAGACGGATAGTCTCATTATTTGTGATCAAGGGAATGGACGAGTCGTACGATGGTCCCGTCGTAGTGGTACAACTCAAGGAGAAATTCTTATTGACAACATCGTTTGTCGGGGATTGGCCATGGATGATCAGAGATATCTCTACATCTCTGACATCGAAAAACATGAAGTAAGACGATATCAAATAGGAGACAAGAATGGAACTATTGTGGCTAGTAGCATTTTGGGAGGTGCTGGTCTCAGTCAACTCAACTCTCCGGCCTATATCTTTGTTGATCAACAACAGACTGTCTACGTGTCAGATACCGGAAATCATCGTGTAATGAAATGGAATAAAGGTGCAAAAGAAGGAATTGTCGTCGCTGGGGGTCAAGGCGAAGGGAATGCTCTGACACAATTGTATTATCCTAACGGACTGTTCGTCGATACGTTGGGTACCATCTATGTGGCAGACTCGTTGAATCAACGAGTGATGCGTTGGCCTAAAGGAGCGAAACAGGGCACTGTCATTGTGGGTGGAAATGATGAAGGAGAAGGAGCAAATCAGTTCGACCGTCCCATAGATTTGTCCTTCGATCGACATGGCAATCTCTATGTCCTCGATGGGGGGAATAATCGTGTTCAACGCTTTTCTATCGAATAAACTCAATACGATGGATTTTTTTTCTTTCTCTGAAATCAATTACGTTGATTGATGAAAACAATGTCTATTCTATTCGCGCGCGCACGACCAGGAACCATCCGGGTGGCGCCGTGGCGAGCGTAACGCTCATGCACGCACAAGACAGACTCATATAATTCATATCCCTCCCACTCGAGAAATATGTCAATGAGTCTGGGAGATCCGATCGTGTGTCACGGACACCAAGGTAGTTTCTGGCCGGTGTTTTAGGTCTAAGTCCGGAAGACCTGATAGATAACAGAGGTCTACCCTCAATGGACATAACTCACCCCTTCTCCTCACTAACACTTCGTCTTCTGAGTCTCATCCTAACCCTCCTCAATCTCAATATCACTATCTAACCTCATTCCCCTCTCAACCTACTCTCATCTCAAAGAAAAAAAAACTAATTACTCACTGTGTTCTAAAGTTGGACGACGATGTTGTTGTTGATGATGCGATGTGATGATAGACTAAAAAGACAAACAAAGTTTTTCACTTCAAGTGTTTTGTATGAGTATAATGAGACTAACGAACACATGTGAGTTCTATATTATTGTTCTCAATAAGCTGCATTGACACAATCTCTATTTTTATTTAAATAAAAGTTTTCTAATTAAAGAAACTGAACAATTTGGAATACTTTGTTCAATTGATCATCATCATACATGTATCTTCATTATCATTCATTTCAACTTTATCAAAATAATAAAACCAATGAACTTTACTAGTTAACTAAAGCAATTTTCGGTTGATCAATATTTACTTGATAAAGTAAATTAAGAAGAAAACAAAAAACTGTAATGTTCAATTTTTGTTTTAGGGTGTGGGTGTGGGTGTGTGTGAGGATGTGAGTGTGGGTAAAAAGAAGACTCCGACATCCACCCACACCCACACCCTCAATTAATATTTAATACAATAATGTTCTTGTTCTAATTTTATTTTACCAGATATCCGTTTTATAATGAATAGGAATATTTCCACTCATACGACGAACATATTTCATATTTGATAAACATATTAAATCACCAAAATCACATAATTTTATTTGATCATAATCAATATTAATAAAAAGATTTTCTAGTTAAATAAATAGAATACAAGAAAATCAACTTTATATATCTTACAATGCAACAATAATAATTGAAAATGAATTTGTTTCAATAAAATGAAATACTTGAATAATTGCATCATGATGTGTAGATGAAATAAGAGCATACTCATGTAAAGTACGTTCATGTGAAATAAGTTTTTTTCGATATCAGTTTTGCAGCACATACATCACTGGTTGATATATGAATACATTGACGAACAATTGAATGACGTCCTCTATTATAAAGAAAAAAAAACATGTAACAAATGAAAAAAAAATCTTTTGAATAACAAAATAATAATCTACCAAATTTTGGAGACGAACGAACTTGTTCAAGTTTATGATGATCGTTCGAATCTAAAAGAATCAAATTAAACTAAAACTAGAAAAAATATCCTATAAACAATTCAAAAGAATTAAAATATGATATAGCTGCTACGAATAATCGCAGAAAGAGTATTTTATCGTATCTATTTGAAACATATTTGTTCGCCATACTTTTGCTTAATCCTCC